CATCCACTCAATGCTCGCCGCCGTGTGCATACGCATGCATGTGAGGGCACCATTTTGGAACACCACACAGTGCCGTGTGCATGCGCATGGCACCGTTGGGAGTTCCAAAATGGTGTCCGTGTCACGCACACATGCGTGCATGATGCGGGTACCATTTTGGAAGGCCCCACAGCAGCTGCACCATGCGAATTTGCATGGCACAGCCACTGTTGGGTCTTGGGAAGGCCCCACCGTGCCTGCACCATGTGAATTTGCAAGGTGCAGCCGCCGTGGGGCATTACAAAATGGCACCCACCACCATGCACATGCCCTCTCAGCTGATTTTATACCTTCTCATTCCCTTGCAGCATTTCTTAACTGCATTTCTTAAGAGAACCACTTGCTTTGCACAGATAGTAATTTCACTTTTGATACTATAACAGCTGCAATGCAATCCATCATAGTATTATCATCCCAGCTAAATCTGTACAGTGCTGTTAATTAAAACAGACATTTCATACTGTCCCAGTTTGACAAGGACAGACCCAGTTAATCCCCAGTCAACCCACATTTTCAGCTGCTTTGAAAATGTCTAACTTTCCCCCTTTGTCCTCAGATTACTTGAGTTAGTGTAAACTGTTTTCAAAGTACAAAATTAGTCTGCACCCAATTAACTGATTAGGGAGGGAGATGAGAGGAAGGGGTTGGGTCTTGCTCTTCCCTGTAGACTCAGGCAAAAGCAATCTGCTGCAGCCTCTTCAAGCTTGTGTATCCTTCCTCTTTAATAACTTTTGCCATTTTCATGACATGGTTTTCATCTGAGGAATGATGGAGGGTATAGTATCTTATGTTTTCCATCTGGGTTTGGGTAGGACAGGAGGAATATTGCAAAAGAATATTACAAAGAAATCCCAGAATCCATATAGAGGGATTCACAAAAGGATTGAAAATAAGCACATGAGGAGAGAAGTGTCCTGCTTTCCTTCTTCCTCAGTCTAAATATGGAGGTTCTTTACACGATCAGAAACCTTGAAGTTGTCATATTCCATATGAAGAGAGCAATGATGGGTGGAAGACCTAGTAGGCTTCCCTTTTTCTCACATTTGCTGTAGAGAAGTTAAAGTTCTGCACTGTAAGTTTGTGCATCATGATAAGTAGACTTCCAGGCTACTTCCTTAACTTTAAGTCCTGACTTCAATCCTCCTTTGTTCTGCGTTATCATTCCAAGCCCTGTAAAGTGTTCTATATTTTTATATGCTAGAATCTGCTGGCAGGTACTATAAGATTTTTGAAGATGAAAAAGATTGACATGAAACATTGGCTCTCTCACACACTGTGTGGTCTCTTTGATGACACTTGCAGGCTCTTCAGTCTTTTCCCTTGGTTCTCAAGCTGTGACAATTGAGATAAATGAACTTTTAAATACTTCATTATGTGCCCACTCCCATTGCACTGAAACCAAAGTGAGATTTGGCACTGAGTGACTGAGGGAGGGAATGGAGTTGAGAAATGCTTTTGAAACCACTCCTGCCATAAGATAAATTCAAAACTCACTTAAATTGGATGAATCGTCTTAAGCAGTGGGGATTGAGAAGGCCAGCTTCACTGAAAGCTAAAAAAAAGATAGAATATAATGTTGATTTATGTAAATTATTTGCCAAGCATAAGAGTAATAATAATTGATTACTGATTTTAATGGCTATAGCACTGAAATTCTTTTGTAGATAAGATTTCAAACATTTTATTTTTCATTTTTTTTAAAGTGATGCTGTTAGCTGCTTAGAGCATTGCATTTTTATTGCAAGGGTGGGCTACCATAGAGGTGTTGGGACTAATTTTTATCTTCTCACGTCCCCATCTGGGTGGATCTGAGAGAGAAATGCAGCAAGTGACCAACACTAATGCCATGCCACTTCTGGTTCCTCTTTTTGTCTACAAATCAACTCTTTTTAAAGAGATTTTAAAGGGTGATTGGGTATGTGGAATAAATTGGTCCAAAACACTGCATTTTTCCATAAATTTAGGCAGTTTAAAATTTTAAACAATTTTTTCCTCATTTAAAAATGTGAGGATTGTGGGCATTGAAGCATCCTGTAGGGACAGAAAAGGGGCTGCACATGACCAGCAAGCCACCCCTTCCCTATTTTAAGAGAAAGCTAGGATAGAAACATGAAGAAGAAGACAGACCATAGAAACAGAGACAAGCCTTGACTATTGATTATTGGTTGAAGGAGTGGTGAGTGAATACTGGAACCCCAGAATCCTACCAGGTTCCCCTTACGAATTTGATATTGAGGGTGGACCTTGAACTAGCCAAGGAAGGGATTTACTTACAAAGATTATCATTGATCAAGGAATGGCTCTTTCAAGTGATTCACGGATATGCCAAAGCTTGTCATTCAGAAGAGAGACCACTTTACTGATAATAGCAAAAGTGTTATAACTTCAGTTCAGTATGATTTGATGGTAAGCAACAATGCATGAGCATGAAAAGTTTTTGATTGACAATCAATATGGTATAGTCAGTATATTGGTCAGTGAAAAGAACAGAACAGCAAGTTAGAAATGCAATTTTCAACAATAGGGGTCTGTAGAACTGGTCTCTGGGAATGCAGCCAGAAAAGAGACATTTGCAAAATTGTTGTTGGGTGCCTTCAAGTCATTTCTGACATATGATGACCCAAAGGTAAATCTATCATGGAGTTTTCCTGGCATGATGTGTTTAGAGGAAGTTTGCTGTTTCCTTCCCTGGAGGCTGAGGGCATGTAACTTGCCCAAGGTCACCAACGAGTTTCATGTCTAAGTGGAGAATTGAACTCTAGTCTTCAGAGTTGCAATATAACATTCAAACCACTATGCCACACTGGCTTTTATTATAGTATGCCAAATCTCTTACCACGGCTGCCTTCTGCAAAACATGCTCTCTTTGTCTGAGGATTTAGATGGAGAAATGGGGAGGAAATAAGGCTTAGAGCAATCTCAAAAATGGCTGTGCTATGGGGCACCAAACCTTGCCTGGGCCTGGCTATAAATTCTTTAAAACAAATTTAAGTAAACAGGTAGATTTAAAACTAGTTTCGGTTTTTAGGTTCGCTGTCCAGGGTTCTGATTTCCAGCCATTAGTTAACATGAAAAGGAACTACCTTAATTCCTTATTCTATCTTTCACTCTTGGGGGAGGGGGATAATGGCCAATTCATACATTCTATCAGAAAGGTCCAGTTCTAGTTCCAGTTCCAGTTCCCCAGCAGAGACATCTGTTTCAGAAAATAGAATGCAAGGGACAATAATATGGGTACAAATGTACAACCATTTAAAAAACATTATAGGAAGCAGTATGTAGAGAGATCTTAGCATCTTTGAGACTAACTGAAAGAAAGCAATTGGCAGCATGAGCTTTCGTAGACTTCAGTCTACTTCCTCAGATGCATTTGTTCTAGGGAGCAATGAGATGCATTAACAATATATCAAAAATATAGGATTTCAGTTGATATACATAATTCCAGGGGGAGCTTAATAAAAATAGTATTCCAAGTTTCTGGAGACGAATACGAAAGTGAGTTGAAGCACTCATTATGGATAGTAAACCTCTATCTGTGAGATTTACCTGTGGGGTTGGGGGACAATGAAACAGCCAGTAGTTTCAAGACATTTAGGTTTTGTTTTCCTGCAATGATGGGAAACTGCACAGCTTTTCCACAAAAGCTGTACAGCATGCCTCAAAAGCTATATACAGTAGTTTGCTGGAAAATATGCAGGAAACTGTGAAACATTTAAATTGTAGGGTTTGTGCAAAAAAGAACATTTCCAGACAGTCACATTTGTGGGTTGTTGTTGTTTTTTGCAACATTTTTTAAATGTAGAAAGCAACAATGTTGTACAACAAAAATGTTGTGCAGAAAATACCAATGTTGTGCAACAAAACCACATGCCTATTTTTAATGCAACATTGCTGGACTTTGCACATTTTATTCTGCAGCATTTTTGTTGTGTAACATTTTTGTGCAACATTGCTGCTTTCTATGCAAAAACCACCAATCCTGCACAACAAAACTGTTCTGTAGAAAACAGCAAACCTGCACTACAAAACTACATGTGCTGCAGCTTCAGTTTGCTAAAGAATATTTTCCTGCTACATAATATTTTGGTTATGCATCTTTCAAACTGGCAAAGGATGCTGCTGTGATGTCAAACCCTTCACCATGTTGATTGCATATGGGTATAGTATTCAATGTAGTTTTGCATATTGTGCATTTTTACTAAGTACATAGTGAAAATAATGTAAGTAGGGGGTCTCCCTCAGAAATCTGCACAGTAAAAAGACTGCAAGTGTGGATGTTCACTGCTAAGCTGTATAGTTTCTCAAATTCTTGGGCAGTTATACAAAAATGTGTAGTTTATCTTGTGCTGAGAACCAAAGAAGTATCTTCCATCTGCAAGAACTTTCAACATGCTGTTCTTCTTCCCACAAAAGTTTCTCCAGGGATCAGGAACTCCAAATATACGTAAATGGAAATGTGTATATATTTTGATACACTCATTTCCTAAAGTATATATACTGTATATACTCATGTATATGTTTCAAAAATTTAGTCAAAAATTGACCTCAAAAACCTGGGTCAACCTATCCACAGATCAATGTAAATACTGTACTTTAACTCTTATTTTAAAAAGGAACCATCCCCTGGTGAAAGGCAAGAGCATAATCTGTCCTGGAAGTGCTGACCCCTCTCTATTCTCTCAACCATCCAGCCTTTAGTCTGAGCACAAACAGTTATGCTTGATGGAATTTTTAAAAGATCTTTGGCATTGTTTTCCTTTGCTTCATCCTGTCGATCCTTTGTTACATGCCCCTAAGTTTTTGTTGTTGTTGTTAACTTCCATCAAGTAGATCTTGACTCATGGCGACCCTATGGATGAGACAACTCCAAGACCCTCTGTCCTCCACTGCTCTGCCTAATTCCTGCAACCCCTTAATACCCGTGACCTCCTTAATAGAGTCCATCCATCTGGCATGTGGCCTTCCTCTCTTGCTACTTCCTTCTACCTTTCTCAGCATTATTTTTTTCCAAAGACTCCTCTCTTCTCATGATGTGTCCAAAGTACGGCAGCCTCAGTTTGATCATCTTGGCTTCCAGGGAGGTTTCTGGCTTGATCTGCTCTAGGATCCATTTGTTTGTCCTTTTGGCTTTTCATGGAATTCTCAGACACTCACCTGCTTCATTTTATCCTAATTTTTACCCTAGACTTATCCTCGGGTCATATCAAAATCCATAATCTTTTCCCCAAAACCTGTCCTCGACTTATACATGAGTTTGACTTATAGTTGAGTATATACGGTATTTTTAAACTCACCAGCCTGAATCTAGTTGCTAATCCTAACAAGAACAGACCCACTGAATCAATGGGATCTTGCTAAATGAACACTCATGTATATTTCAATACAATTAATCTGCTCCAACTGAGACTAGTAAGCAAATTTAGGCCATTTTCTTTGATGCATGCATTTTCCTTCATCTTTTCTATTGATTAAGAGATATTCATAAACATTTTTCCATGACATTTTGCTTGTGTGTCTTTTTGGTATATAATTTTAAAAGGAGAAAGGAAAAAGAGAATCTGAAGCTCATGGTTTTCTTCTAAAGATATGCACATGCTTTCAGTAATACTCATATAAACCATTAATTGGATCAATCCATTTTAAAAACTGGTGAATGGGGAAAAAAATCCATCCCAAGTGAGAAATGGTTGCCAAGAGATATAGCACATTTTCCTGTGTCTATATCCAGACTAGAATAAAGGCTAGTGAATAGTGGTATATTTTTAGAGAACATTGAGCACTTCCTGGAACTAGAGGGCAAGCATGCATAATGATGATAAATTGAAGAGGATAGTCAATTAAACAACCAAAGATGAAAAATTCAGCTATGATCTGTGTGAAATACACAAAATAAACTGAGCCATCATCTGCCTGTCATAGATATTATAGGGTTGCTGTCTTCAAATAAAAACAGACAAACAAAAATCATGCAAGCAGACACATGTCTGTAACATGCATTTTATAATCTTGTCAGATATAACTCAGGTAAAAATGATTTGTTATCAGTGCTTCCAGAAATATGATGAAGCCATCATTCTCTCAGGCAGGTTGCCCAAAATGATGCTCAATGATTAATCAAGGGTTGTATACAACCCCAATGAAGAAAAATTGAATTATGCTCTGCAACAATTCATCCAGGGAATCATGTATACAAACCACCCATCTTTGCTTCCTGCTGTAAAGTAAGGAATTTTCCTCAGGGAAAACATGTGCCTTCTGGTGGCAATCAATGCAAATTTAGATTTTTCACACACTCTGAACAGAACAGAAAAGATAATTGTTTTGAACTTCTGAATTCCATACTTATTTTTGTATGTGGGAATTAATTCTGCATGTAGTCTTCAAACTATTGTGTTGTGGAGAGGTAACACATCCAGTCACCTTCTTTTAAAATATCTGAACATTCTGATCAGATGCAGTGGTATTCCTTAGTATGCATCTCACAGATTTGATTCCTTAGGCCTGTCAGAGTTTGGTATTTCCTATCTATAATGGTATGACCAATACAGGCTCTCAGATTATATGATTTTGTAGAAAAATGTTGTTATTCATGTAGGTGTAGTTGTATTTGTTGATGCTGATCTTCCTCTTAGTAAAACTCCATACTGTTAGAAACAATGTGCAGGTTGTGTGTGTGATTCACAAGGTGATCTGCTGAGAGCTTTACTGAGTTCTACATTGTTGCCATGCATTTTGTCTCCATTACAGCATTACTGAGCCTTTGTAAGATGTTAGCATGATATTGCATATAAAAACACTTTCAGGCTACTCTCAGTAGGTCCTTGAATACAGATTGACATTTTGTTTATTTTTATGACCCTTCAAGGCTATACATTGGGAGCCACAGCAACTAAATGAGATGCAGATTCAATACGTTCAAAGCCAGAATACCTGTTTTCCCTAGGTAAATTCCTGATGGAAAAATTGTGTTAAAATATGTGTTGCTAAAAACAGGGCTTAAGTTAATGATAATCAAGCTAAGTCTCATTGAATTCAATGGGTCAATGCTAAGCATGAGTGGGATTGTTTGTGTGTGTGTCTGTACATACACACATACATAAACATATGCAAACATATTTACAGATACATACATGGTGTGTAGAGAAAGTGCATTAAGGTGTATTCTTGAACTAAGGTATACTCTTGGATTAGAGAGCTATCATGGTGTACTGGTTAGATGACTGGACCATGGCACTAGAAATCAGGGTTCATTTCTCTGCTTGGCCATGGCAACCCACTGAATGACCTTCAGTGAGTCACACAATCTCAGCCCCAGAAGCCCTATGATAGGTTCACCTTACGGTTGCCATAAGTTTGAAAGCACACAACAACAATACTCTTGATTAATTTGTGAGGAAAGTTAAATATTTTTCTTGTGTGATACCATCTGTTGCATGTGGGAATCACTATTCAGTTATTCTGTAAAAGCTATGCATCCAAACATCTTCATATTTTCTGTACACCCACTGAAACCAGGGAATCTACATTGGGGAGAAGGATTTATGCCACAAAAGGGCACTATATTTTAGCAACTCTTTTTGCTTCTCCCCCAAAACAAAAACAAAAACAAAAAAACAGATGATGCATAGATAGTCTTTGATTATTCTCCATGATAATCCATGTTTCTGCATTCTCATCTATCAAGAAAAATGATAATGTGTGTCCTGTGAGGCATTCTGGAAGTTGTTCCTGGTATCTTGTAATATTGTAGTTGGCAAGGGAGTGCCTTCAATGATGGTAGTGATGATGTGGCAATATAATCTTCCTAC